TGGACCACGAGGCTCTACTGAGCACCTCATCGGTGCCACCCCCCCCGCGGGCCTTAGGCGGCACTTCCTTCCCTCCCTCCTTCCTTCCTTCCTTCCTTCCTTCCTTCCTTCCTTCCTTTCTCTTCTTTTCTCGATTCCTCCCCCCTGTTCCCGCGCCCTCCTCTTCCCGCATTCTGCCTCGTCCCCGCTCTCCCCATCGCTCTCTCCCGTTGGACGTTGCGTGGCCAGCGCCCGCCCCGTCGAGACCTCCCGGCGGGAGCGGCCTCCGCCCTCTCGAGCGCCCCCTCGGGCTGCTCCTGGCTTCCGGGCGGAGGCTGCGCAGGGCTTGCCCTGCCTTTCGGGGCCCCTTCCAGCGCTGCGTCGCGCAGCGGGGCCGACCTCGCTCGCGGCCCTGCCTTCGTTTTGTCAGGAGGAAAAAACACACACAGACACAAGTAATCGTCGATCCCCCAGAAAATATGGGAAAATATGGGAAGTGGGGGGGAAAACAGAAACCCAGAACATAGGGGAAAATATGGGGAATCCTTTTATTTGTGTGTATTTGTTTGTGTGTCCCAGGACCCCTTCGTTTTGGCCCCCCTCCCGCGCCGAGGCCGCGCGCCGCGGACCGCGGGGCCCCCCTGCGGGCGGGAGCGCGCGGCCGCCCCCAGAACCGCGCAGGGTCGGCCGGGGCTCCGGGCTTGCCGTGGCGTGGTGGGCGCCCTGCCGGGCTCCGCGCGCGTGGCCTCTGCTGGGTCCAGGGCTCTCCGTGTGTTTCTTCCCTGCCTTCCGCACTTTAGCAATCTGAGATTTACTCTCCTCTTCTCTCCTGGTGGCGTCTGGGAGGTGGCCGGCCGCCCTCCGCGTATTAGTTTTTCCCGGAAAGGGCATAGGCCCAGGGTTCTCTTTTACTGGGTTTACCCCCGGTTTTGACTTGAAGAGGGCCGGCGAAAGTATTTTGCGTACATGACGAGGTAAAGTGCTGATTTTCAGTCGAAATATTGCGTTTCGTGCGTGCCCGCTCGAGGAAAGTGTGCCCCCCATATCGGATCCTCGATAAAAAACGGGGTCCGCAGACCCCCGTTTTCCCTTGTAAAAAAAAAAGGTGCGGAGCGTTTTTCGCAGAATCCTCGACAAATAACGGGGTCTGGAGCCCCGACCGCGACGCGGAAAAACGCACCGCGCGCAGGAATTTCGAGGATGTCTCGCGCGTGCCGCGTCCCGCGCGCAGGAATTTCGAGGATGTCTCGACTAATTCGCTTGTTTTGTCAGGATTTCTTAGAATTTTGGGAGCATGTCTCGAGCGAAACGCTTTTTTTACATAGTTTGTTGAGGATGTCTCGAGGGAAACGCTGGTTTTGCAAAATGTGGGGAGTCTCGAGCGGGGGCTTCGTGGGGGGCCAGAATTCAGAGGATGTCTCAGGCGAAATGCTTGTTTTCGTGTCCCGCTCGCAGGAATTCCAAGCATGTCTCGCGCGTGCCGCGTCCCGCGCGCATTTGTTGAGGATGTCTCGAGCGAAACGCTGGTTTTGCAAACTTGGGGGATGTCTCGAGCGGGGGCCTCGTGGGGGGCCAGAATTCAGAGGATGTCTCAGGCGAAATGTTTGTTTTCACGTCCCGCTCGCAGGAATTCCGGGGATGTCTCGCGCGTGCCACGTCCCGCGCGCAGGAATTTTGAGGATGTCCCGTAGCGCGTCCCCTTGGCACGTCCTACGGTGCGACCCCATGGCACGTCCCTTGGCACGTCGCCTGGCGCGTCCCTTGGGACGTTTCGCGGCGCGTCCTCCTGGCATGTCCCCCTGTCAATTAGCTCTGGGGCAGCTACTATGTGTTCAGGCAGCTCGAGCTTCAGATCCAGATCAGTTCGGTCAGGACTCGGATGCAAAGGAGGACTCGATCCACGACGCTATAGAGCACAACCGCGGCATGGCACATCGCAATTCAGCACGGTGCAGCACAGCACAGCCCTCGGCACGGTACATCAAGATCGATACAATCAGCATTGCACTTGCCCGTCACCCAATCAGGTGTCTTTGAAAACGTTGCCATGCGTTACATTTCTATATTCCTTTCTGGGTTCGTGGGTCGATCATGTTCACACACGCAGGATTCCCGGGGCATTTTTTTTTGGGGGGGGGGGGCAGTAGCTGCTCTCGCTGAAGCGCTGGCCTCATTTTCGGGCTACCGCTCGTTCCGAATCGTGCTCCCGCTGCAGCGCTGGCCTCATTTCCGCGCTTCCGCAAGTTCCGACTCGTCCTCCCGCTGCAGCGCTGGCGTCATTATTTCCAGTGCCATGCCACGGCATTGTTTTTCATCTTTCCAGATATGCCCCAACAAATCTAGAACATGCCCCCCCCCGAAATTATCCCGGCAAAGCAACCTAACAGCGATGTGTAGGAGCATATCTGGAAGCATTCCCCTTAAGATTCGGATGATAATCCAGTTGTAGAATTCTGCTGTTCTCGCAGTCGTAGTCGCATTCGCGATGACAGTCGCAGTGGCAACGGCAGTCGCAGTCACAGCCTCAGCCTCAGCCTGCCTCAGCCTCAGCCTCAGCCTGCCTCAGCCTCAGCCTGCCTCAGCCTCAGCCTCAGCCTGCTTCAGCCTCAGCCTCAGTCTGCCTTCAGCCTCGGCCTCAGCCTCAGCCTGCCTCAGCCTCAGCCTGCATCAGCCTCAGCCTCAGCCTCAGCCTCAGCCTGCCTCAGCAGCCTGCCTCAGCCTCAGCCTCAGCCTGCCTCTGCCTCAGCCTCAGCCTGCTTCAGCCTCAGCCTCAGCTGCCTCGCCTCGGCCTCAGCCTCAGCCTGCCTCAGCCTCAGCCTGCATCAGCCTCAGCCTCAGCCTCAGCCTCAGCCTCTCAGCCTCAGCCTCAGCCTCAGCCTGCCTCAGCCTCAGCCTCAGCCTGCTTCAGCCTCAGCCTCAGTCTGCCTCAGCCTCGGCCTCAGCCTCAGCCTGCCTCAGCCTCAGCCTCAGCCTCAGCCTCAGCCTCAGCCTGCCTCAGCCTCAGCCTGCCTCAGCCTCAGCCTCAGCAGCCTCAGCCTCAGTCTGCCTTCAGCCTCGGCCTCAGCCTCAGCCTGCCTCAGCCTCAGCCTGCATCAGCCTCAGCCTCAGCCTCAGCCTGCCTCAGCATCAGCCTGCCTCAGCCTCAGCCTCAGCCTGCCTCAGCCTCAGCCTCAGCCTGCTTCAGCCTCAGCCTCAGTCTGCCTTCAGCCTCGGCCTCAGCCTCAGCCTGCCTCAGCCTCAGCCTGCATCAGCCTCAGCCTCAGCCTCAGCCTGCCTCAGCATCAGCCTGCCTCAGCCTCAGCCTCAGCCTGCCTCAGCCTCAGCCTCAGCCTGCTTCAGCCTCAGCCTCAGTCTGCCTTCAGCCTCGGCCTCAGCCTCAGCCTGCCTCAGCCTCAGCCTGCATCAGCCTCAGCCTCAGCCTCAGCCTCAGCCTGCCTCAGCCTCAGCCTCAGCCTGCCTCAGCCTCAGCCTCAGCCTGCTTCAGCCTCAGCCTCAGCCTGCCTTCAGCCTCGGCCTCAGCCTCAGCCTGCCTCAGCCTCAGCCTGCATCAGCCTCAGCCTCAGCCTCAGCCTGCCTCAGCCTCAGCCTGCAGCCTGCCTCAGCCTCAGCCTCAGCCTGCCTCAGCCTCAGCCTCAGCCTCAGCTTCAGCCTCGGGCCTCAGCCTCAGCCTCAGCCCTCAGCCTCAGCCTGCAGCCTCAGCCTCAGCATCAGCCTGCCTCAGCCTCAGCCTCAGCCTCAGCCAGCCTCAGGAGCCTGCCTGCCTGCCTCAGCCTGCCTCAGCATTCAAAAATGGAATTCTGGGAACTCGAAGAACACGAAGTGGCCTACAGTTGGCTCCGGGCCCATTCTGGGAACAATGGGCTCCGGGCATTCAAAATGTGGCCCGGGAATGGAGTTCTGGGAACTCGAAGAGCACGAAGTGGCCTACAGTTGGCTCCGGGCATCCAAAATGTGGCCCGGGAATGGAGTTCTGGGAACTCGAAGAGCACGAAGTGGCCTACAGTTGGCTCCGGGCATCCAAAATGTGGCCCGGGAATGGAGTTCTGGGAAGTCGAAGAGCACGAAGTGGCCTACAGTTGGCTCCGGGCATTCAAAATGTGGCCCGGGAATGGAGTTCTGGGAGGTCGAAGAGCACGAAGTGTGTGACTGTTTGCTTAAAACGAGCCCGGCCCTCGCCTGTCCGGCTCCCGCCCAGACCCCCCTGGGGAGTCATCAGATGCTCTCTTTTGACCCCATTAGAAACCTATCAGTCTTCGCTGTTAGGTAAAAACCATTGGACGTGATTACACATTCGGTGTCGATTCGTTGCTGTTCTGGGCCGCAGAAGCCACCCTTTTGGGCGTCGCCACGCCATGCTATGTCAGGATACGCGTCCTCATTTCCCCGCTTCGTTTTTTTTGTTTGCTCGTTCCGACTCGTGCTCCCGCTGCAGCGCTGGCGTCATTATTTCCAAAGCCATGCCACGGCAGGGTTTTCCATCCTTCCAATAGGCTTCGAAATTTTGAATATGGCCTCGAGGAAACCGTTTGACGTGATTACACATTCGGTGCCGGTTATTTGATTTGTTGGGCCGCAGAGACCACCCCCATTATTTCGGGGCGTCGCCACGCCATGCGCTGTCATGCTACGCGCTAGTATTCAACACCATGCTATGCCATGTCATGCTATGTCATGCTACGACATCCGATTGTGCGAATAGGGGGGATATCTGCGCCATGGTAAGGGATGGGAGGGGCGGGTAGGACGTTCGATTGACGCGCGCGCACCTTGCTTGCCCCTCCCCTTCCCCCTTTCCCCCCCCTCCGCCTCCCCTCTCGATCTTCCCCCTTCGCCTCCCCCTCGCCTCCCCTCCCCATCCCTCTCCCCCGCATGGTGCCCCTCCCGCCTCTATATATCGGTGCCTCTTGTCCTACTTTTCCCCCTTCCCGCCTCCCCTCCCCCTTTCCCTTTCCCTCCTCCCCCCTTCTCCTCCCCCCTTTCTCCTCTCCCCCATTCCGCTCTCAGCCGCAAGCGGCAGCCAGGCAGCTACTGCATCAAGCTGATCGCGGAAGACTGCGCGGCGCGCCACCTTCCCTCTCCTCTGCGGCGCTCTGTGTCTTTCTGTCTGTCCGTCTGTCTGTCTGTGTGTCCGTCCGTCCGTCCGTGGGTAGGTCTGTCTGTCTGTCGGTCAGTTTGTCTGTCATTTTTTTGTATTTTCCTTTTTTTTGTTTCTCTCTCTCTCTCTCTGTCTCTTTCGTCACGTGCGTCATCTTCTGAAGGGAATCGCTCGAGAATCATGAAGAGTCAGACACAGTGAGTACAGGTAAGAACAAGAGTAGGTGTTCTGCCAGCCGCCGCGTGACCAGCTCAGCTTAACATTAAGAGTGCGAGTGTGAGCACGATTGCTCTAACGTGTGCGAGTACGAGTACGATGGACACGAACATATAGAGAGAGGGTTGCAATGATATGGAAGTTGCCTACGGCGAACCACCGCCGTCACCTGCCTTTCTGGAAATGCCTATGTGGCCAAACGTTGGACCAAAACTTGCCAAAACTATTAGACTGGGTGATTCCCCAGACGTTCTGGAACCCCACAGGGGGAGCACTTGCGGGAGAAAGAGAGAGAGAGAGAGACACACACATTGACGTACGGCACTAGAGATGATGATGATGATGCTGATGATGATGATGATGATGATGATGATGCTGATGATGATTCTGATGATGATGATGATGATGATGCTGATGCTGCTGATGATGATGATGGTGGTGGTGATGATGATTATGATGCTGCTGATGATGCTGAGGATGATGATGATGACGATGACGATGAGGATGAGGACGGTGATGATGATGGTGCTGATGATGGTGATGATGATGCTGATGATGATGATGATGATGATGATGACGATGACGATGCTGACGATGTTGATGATGAGGATGATTTTGACGATGATGATGCTGATGATGGTGACAATGATGATGATGCTGATGATGATGATGATGATGATGATGTTGATGATGATGACGGTGACGATGACGGTGACGATGACGAGGTCGATAACGATGATGCTGATGATGATGATGCTGATGACGATGCTGACGATGTTGATGATGAGGATGATTTTGACGATGATGCTGCTGCTGCTGCTGCTGCTGATGATGATGATGATGATGATGATGATGATGATGATGATGATGATGATGATGATGATGATGATAAGGAGGAGGAGGAGGAGGAGGAGGAGGAGGAGGAAAGGAGGAAAGCAGGAGGAGGAGGAAAGGGAGAGGAAAGGGAGAGGGACCCGAGACGGGGTCCCCTGGACTTAGGATGGAGGCCCGCACGCACACGTTCGACGTTGCGCAAGTGGTTAGCGCGCGCGGTCGGAACTAGGGGCTTCCCAGGACAGTGCCGCCGGAGGAGATGAATACGACCCTCCAAACGAATAGGCGCCGCAACGTGCAGAACGTATGCCCCTGTCATTCGGAGGAACGTCTTCTGACTCCAAGACGGCCCAAGATCTTCGCCGACGGCACCCTTCTCATCGGCAGCCTCAGACGTGGCTCGCCTCGGGTCCGAACGCAGCGTCGGCGGCGTCCAGGGCCATCTGCACCGATTCGCAGAGGCACGGCCGCAGAAGCAGGCCAGGTTGGTTGGAATACTGGCGCGCGTTCCGCTCGCCCACGGCAGAAGGAAGGCAGAGACGACTGGCACCAGATAGCGAGCTCGTGAAAGAGCTGTTCGTGTGCGCCCCCGCGCAGCACACGTTGGCCTCCTCTGGAGGTCCTCTTGAAGCCCTCATGGGGTGTCTCGGGAGCCTCTGGGGCCTTCTGGCGCTCATCTTGAGCCGTCTTGGAGTCATTTTGGCTGTCTTGGTGGCATCTTGGGTCATTTTGGGGTGGGGCCACCCTGTCCGTATTGGGACCGTCTCGGAGGCCACCTTGGCCAATTTGGCCATCTGGGAGGCCTTATTCGGGACCATTTTGGGGGCTTTGAAGGCGGAGGAAGGTGCTTTGCAATTCTTCCCGGCGGCCGGTACCTTGAGCCGAGACCCACTAAGGATCTTTTTGGAAGGGCTCAGAAGATTAAGCCTCGTAATGTCAAACAACCTTCTTCTTGCAAGCAGCAGGGGACGGTGAGTCGAAGACGCCTACTGCGAATCACCGCCGCCCTCTGCCCTCTGGCGAACGCCTGTGTGGCCAAACGTTTGGGCAAAGTTTGGCTACTCTACTGGGCCCTGCGTTCCCCCAGCCGTTGCGGAACCCCTTCGGGGAACACGTGGGGGAGGAAGAGGAGGAGGAGAGGGAGGAACAATAGAGAGGAGGAGGAGGAGCACGAGGAGGAGGAGGAGGAGGAGGAGGAGGAGGAGGAAGAGGAGAAAGAGGAGGAGGAGGAAGCGGAGGAGGCTGAGCAGGAGGAGGAGGAGGAGGATGATGATGGGGATGAGGAGAATGATGAGGAGACATCTTGGGAGCTTCTTGGGTCATTCTTGGGGCCTCCTGGGAGCTTCGTGGGAGCTTCGTGGGTGCCTCTTGGAGGCCTCTTGGAGGCCTCCTTGGGCCTCTTGGGGGCCTATGAGGGCTTCTTGAGAGCCTCTTTGGACGTCTTGCGGCGTTCCTGGCCCGTATGACGCTGTCGGAAGTCGTCTTGGGAGCCTCTCTGGGCCATCTTGGGGCCTTCTTGGGGCGCTTCGGGGTTCGTGAATACTATCTTGGGCGTCTTGGAAGCTTCTTGGACAGTCTTGGGGCCCTGTAGGGGCCATCTTGGGAGCCTCTTGGGTCGTGATGGGGCCATCTTGGAGGCCTCCTGGGCGATCTTGGGGCAATCTTTGGGGCCTCTTGGACCGTCGTCCTACAACAACCAACGAATAATCAATGATTTTGGCCTCTGCCGGCTTTCCTGGAGGACCTCTTGGGGGCCTTTTGGGGCGTTTTAGGGGCCTCTTGGGTGCTTCGTGGGCCGTCTTGGGCTCTCTTGGACCATCTTGGTGGTCTTGGAGGCATCTTGGGACCGTCTTGGAGGCCCTCTTGGCGCCATCTTGGGCTCTGTTGGAGCCATCTTGGCCATCTGGGAGGTCATCGTGCCATCTTGCAGGCCATCAGGAGCCGTCTTACGCGACAAAGCCGCTGTGCACCCGTGTGGCAGGACCGCAAGGGGGCGGCGGGTCTAGTGGCCTTCGGCCGATCGTGTCACCGTGCCAGGGTCGTGGACTTTGACCGTCGATGGGCCCTCTCGGGGCTCTATTGGGTCATTTTCGGCTGGTCTGGGGTACCTCTTGGGCCGTCTTGGGTCAGATACCTGAAAAGGCGACTCGGCGAACACTTATCAAGCACCGCAAGGATCATGCTTTTGTCTCGGAAGGTCCTTTTGCGGATCCTCTCGGGGCCCTCATTGGGCCGTCTTGGGAGCTTCATTGGCCGTCTAGGACCAATCTTTCACTCGGGGCAGGCTGTCCCGCTCTTCAGGTTTTCCACCTCGCTGAGAAAGCTCGGTCATTTTCCATACTTAAGCGGGAGCGCTCGAACGCCGACTCATGCAGAGCATTGGCTAAGAGGGATGAACATGAGACCGCAAAGGGGTACGGGGGCTGTGCGAACGACCTTCCCACTTCATATTGCCGTGTGCCTGGCCGCTTTTCTCTCGCAATTGTTCAATGGGTGGCATTTGCGTTGCGATCATCACCACAAGTGTCACCAGCCATTCGTAGCAATTTGGGCTTAGGGATCTCAAGGCCATGTTTAGTTTGCGTACCAGGAGAGTGTAGATGTTACCGAATCGTCCATAGCAGGTATTTGTAGTTGTAGTTCATGCGCTTGCACAGCTTCAGGTGCATAGCTTTCATTATTTGGCTTCAGCTTGCGTCATCTTTCCATTTCCCTGCTCGTGACGACGCCTTCGAAACCAAAGATGACCCAACGCATGCGCAAATGAAGGCATCTGCGTGGACGCCATCCTGCAGAAATAATATTACGGCTCACCGGCATATATTATTTGCCGGAGATTCGTTTTCGCGCTTTATGGCACTGGCATTAATTGAGCACATGGCGGGTAGCAACACGTATTGCGATGTTCGCAATTCCCCGCAACATTGTCAGGGAGAGGCTAAGTATTTTGATAGCCGTGTTTGCCTCGATTATCGCAGTCGCTGGTGCGGCGTCCCAATGCAGCGGTCATTTTGTGATTCCAAGATAGGGAATGTGACTAACAAAGTGACGGTCACATCTCTAGATATGTGGGATAAGAAGCACTTCGATAGCACAGTCTCGCCATACCTCCAGCACTGGAGTCCAGATATCATGGTGGGGTCGTACATGCGTTCATTATCCCAAGGTGAGGATGAATTCGAACAATGGCTCCAGCAATGGTGTGACTTGGCTTCCAAATCAGGGACCAAGTTCGTTTGGGTGGGGAACCATGCGCGTTGTATGCGCAAGGTCGCGACCAAATATGGGCTACAATCGAACACCATAGCTAAGAAGCGAAACTTAATTGCTCGCAAGGTCATGGAAGCAAATGGCTTTCAGATGCTTGATCCGCTGGAACATGACGCTCTCAATGCGGCAGCTGTCTGCAAGGATACCCAAGATGGTACACACGTTGGCTTTAAGTCAAATATGCTTAAAATTGAGTCGTTGGTAGCGATGGGTCTGTTAGCGGACGTGTAGCTCCCACCGAGTATGAAGAAGAGAACCTACGGGTTGCAGTCTCTGCCGCCGGCACCCTTTTTCGAGCTCCTCATCCTCCCCCTCTCACATGTCATCCTTTTTCTTATGTTTCTCTCTTGGACAACCAAATGTGCGCTTTGGGTTGCGTTTTGGGGGGCTTCCTGGGCGCATCAGGGGTGCGGAAAGAGAGAACAGATGAAACACCGGGTGCATCAACGATGCTGCAATACACCGTCCTGACGAGCGCCCCATGGACTTGTCATACATGCAAGAGTTCCGTTTCGGAGAGGAGACGCCGTCCATGTTGATGTTTTAAAGAGTTGCTAAGTATCTCGTCCTCAATAATCAGTGCGCGCTCCGTCCTTGCCTCCCGCAGCCCTTTCTGGGTCAAACCCGTGCTGCCACGCGCGGGA